CATATAAAATATATCAAATTAATTAAAGTAATGCTACATTTCATATATTCTCTTAAACTTTACATGTCTTGTATTTTATCATAGTTGTTTTCATAGATATTTAGTACAACTCTTACCACCACTTTCTTTGACATATAACCACTACATATTCACTAGAACTCTACAATGTCATGTATCAGCAACGAACATCATGAATAAATATAGTCATTAGTTTTAAGTAATATACAACTGTGTTTTCTTTCTCTGTACATGCCTGGCGCCCAATATCTGTATTTTTTTTGTTTATTGTTATTGATTAGTTTTCTCTCTAGTGAAATACCTTACCCACGACTGCTCTCCGATGAAAAGCCGCCGTTCGCAGTGGTAGTTATAAAAAGAACACTACACTGTCCATAACACCATATTTGCTCTGTCTATAGTATCGGCCTGTAAAATGAGAAAGTTTTTACAGGTGGAAAATGTGTTAAAAGTCTTAAGACAGAATTGTAAAATAACTTTCAATATTACATACAAACCTAAATTTTGCTTTTAAAGAAAGGTATTTTATGCATGAAGGAAATATTATTCTGAAATAAATATTACAAAATACTCTCCTAAATAATGGTTATTACGTAGGATATTAGCATACACTTTCTTATTCATAACCTCCGTTGTGTGTTCTCTTATATAACAGAAGTTATCGACCGCCAAAAATGGAAGAAAGGTTTCAAACAACTCCGAAAATACTTTTGGAATAATTTACATTGGTTATAGTCGTGGGTTTGAAAAAAATAAGATTCTTGGTTTATGAATATCGGGAAAAATATGGCTGTTTATCTAATCATAATAATGTCGATAAAAATTTACTTTTTCCTTAGACTTTATTTATTTTTTACATGAAAATATTTTTTCTATATGTATAGGTAATGATTTAATAAAAATACCACAAGACACCAAAAATGTTTTGCATTGAACGCGCGTTTTGCTAACCATGTTAACATCATCAGCAGATGTATTGTGTTGATTTAGTGTTTTATTTTACTGTATAAATGACATGACATTATCATTACAGTTGAGGGTTGGAATCTTTGGTGTTACACAGCAAAATAAAACACTAAATCAACACAATACACCAAAACACTTTTACTTTTACACTGGACGCGCGTTTCGCTAACCATGTTAGCATCATCAGCAGATGATTATAAACTAAAATACAATCTACAATTGGAGCGTTTATATACTCGCTCAGTGGGCCCAGAGTGGGCGTGGCAAGATCTAGCCCACCGAGTCAGAACACACCGAGCGTAACAGTTAGATGTCCACCACTAGAGTAGTAGGAACAAAGAACTTGAAGGAATTGGACCGTTGTCTCGGTTCATACTGTCTTTACATTTATTAATCAGATATAATAATTATTGTCTTATAACTTCAGCGATAGTGAACTTTCAACAGCAATGTTGGAGTTTTAGTGACCTAGATTTATGTTTATATTTACCGAAAATTAAAATTATGCTGTATCAACAACGACAGAGTATAAGTACCAAATAATACAAACAAAATAAACTCGAAAGATTTCGCAGATACCTCGCAAATACTTATCTAAAATATTTAAGTTGTTTAATCTTTGAAATTCCCTAGCACTTGTAACATTCTTAAGGTTTATCTTACGTCTCTATAAGGCGTTTACCGGAAGTGTAACGTCTACCGAGCTTCAATTATTAATTACGTGTATGCGGGAAATCCGAGACGAACAGGTCTTCGTTTAGAAACTGATCTCGAGAGAGAACTTTATTTAATTTAGAATGTTCAGTATGGTGACGAGTTAAAGAATTTAAAACAAACTCTCTCTCTCTGTTATAATATATTTAGTTACTTCTTTAACTTTATTTAACCTTACTAAATAATTTCAAAATATTTATGTAACAGTAATTAAATTTAATGTACAGGCTCCAAGGAGAACGACAGTATTTGTATTGAAATTAAATTTTGTGAGCATAATATTATGTAGATTAATTCAGAGCACTTTTTAAAAATATAGAGAGTTTACAGGGTGTCCCCAAAAAAGTTATAAATCAAAGTTGTGTTTTTTGTAATGGAACACCCTTTGCAGGGTTGTTCACCACATACGACACGAAGTATTGTGGCTAAAGGATTAGATTTTTACAAATTGTAAGTTTTGGGTTCGTTGAAGGACTATTAGAGCTACAATTTAAAAATATTTTTACAAGATACAGAATGTCCCAAATATGTAAAAAATATTATAGTTGTATTTCTTTTAAATGGAACTCGCTGTATATTATTGTATTTTTAGATTCTACGATTAAAATAAAGGTAAATTTGATTAAGGTTTATCATACTTAAACCTTACCGTTTTTGAAATATTTTCAATTTTATGAAATTGCAGTAAAAATTTTAAGGCTTTATTTCTCCAAGGGAATCAAAGTTTTTAAAACAAAATATTTACTGAAGATTATTTATTGATCAGATATTGTATTGCAATAATAAAAATTTTACTACCTTCTACAGAGTGGCCAAAAATTATATTAAATTAAAAAAAAACTAGCTTTAAACGGCAATAACTTTTTTAATTTAAATGGAACACCCTATATATTTTACGTGAATCAGATGCACAAGGTAATTGTCTATTAAATTGTATTATACCATTTTTTACCCATCTCCTCAAGTTTTCGTAGAAAATGCATTTTCTTATCATTTAGACCTCATTTATCACTATACATATGGAATATTGACATTTTCGATTATTTTTAAAGATGTAACAAATTTTCAAAGGTACAGATACTAATATTGTCGATATAGTTCCCTTATTTCAATGAAAAATAAATCAAACTATTTTTATTGTTTTGTCAATTATTTGTTTATTTTTTTTGTTAAAGAGGACCAATTAATATGATCTCAGTATTCAAACTACATTAATTGACTGTTTACGTTGATTAATAATAATTGCTCCAAATACTAAAAAACTGAATTTTGTGTGTGTATTAGACAGTGTGGTAAAAAGTAACACCTTATAAATTTTATTTCATTTCTTGACGCATGCTTATTTATAAAAACAGAGACGTTCATTTTCATATCATTTTATTATATTGATTTCTGAGCCAAATCCACATTTATTTAGAATACTTTATTAATTAAAACAATTTAAAAGTATGTAATTAACTAATTTTTGGTCGGAAATAATGGTGGTATATTTAATTGGTATACTCTTTTACAAAGATTTAAATAGTTGTTTTTGTATACCAATGGGATTTCAATATTTACCACCTGTACATTTTGTACATATATGTTGCTATGTTGCTTTAAAAAAATCTATAATGTCAATATTCCATGGGTATAGTGATAAATCAGGTCTAAATTATAAGAAAATGCATTTTCTACGAAAACTTGAAGAGATAGGTAAAAAATGGTATAATATAATTTGATAGATAATTAAATTATACATATGATTCACGTAAAATATACAGGGTGTTCCATTTAAATTAAACAAGTTATTGCCATTTAAAGCTAGTAATTATTTAATATAAATTATTGGACACTCTGTATAAGGTAGTAAAATTTTTATTATTGCAACACAATATCTGATCAATAAATAATCTTCAGTAAATATTCAGTTTTAAAAACTTTGATACCCTTGGAGAAATGAAGCTTTAAAATTTTTACTGTAATTTCATAAAATTGAAAATATTTCAAAAACGGTAAAGTAAGTGTGATAAACCTTAATCAAACTTACCTTTATCTCAATCGTAAAGTCCAAAAATAGAATAATATACAGGGTGTTCCATTTAAAAAATACAACTATAATATTTTTTACTTATTTAGGACACTCTATATCTTGTAAAAATATTTTTAAATTGTAGCTCTAATAGTCCTGCAAAATAAAAACACTAAATCACCACAATACACCAAAACACTTTTACTTTTACACTGCCGTGTCAGTGTAAAAGTAAAAGTGTTTTGGTGTATTGTGGTGATTTAGTGTTTTTATTTTGCTGTTTAACACCAAAGGTTCCAACCCTCAACTGTAATCTAATAGTCCTTCAACGAACCCAAAACTTACAATTTGTAAAAATCTAATCGTTTAGCCACAATACTCCGTGTCGTATGTGGTGAACAACCCTGTATATTAATTGATTTTCGGATTCTGAGAGGAAAATAAAAGTGAGTTTTATAAAAGAGATATATGAATAAAATGTAAGATTTTTGACATATTTAACATTTTCTAGAAATAAAGAACAATTTTTCAAATTAGAATAAAAGCTACCTAAATTGGAATTTACCTGGTATAGCCTAATATCGCGGGTGATCTGGCAAATATTCCTATCTACTGAAACAATAACTTTACAGGAGGCAATTAAAACGGTATTTTCAAAAACGGAACGACTTAGAAGGCTGGGCTATTGAAAATACATTATAATGTATGTTTTCTATTAAATACTATTTATTTGGAAGCAATTAAACTGTAAACTTGTTTATTAAATCAGATAGGACTTTTTGCTTTTGATAAAATGGCACATAGGATTATTTGTATTTTAGGATTATAAAAGATAGGACGTTTTGCTTGTGGTAAAAGTCAGATAGGATAATTTGCTTTTATAGTTTTATAGTATATACCGGGTGTTTGCATCGTCGGACGGGACATAGGAAATCGCATGTAAATTTTAATAGGGTCAATTATTGGCTTCCCTAATTATTTTACAGAATAATTCTATTTAGGTTTATTGAAGAGCACTAAAACCCACATTCAAAAGAATAACTTTAGATATTTTTGATTAGCTCGTTTACGAGTTATCGCCGATTTCTTTTTAAATATTTCTCTTTTCTTATGGCCCTGTATTTACTTATGAGCACCAGTCAAGGTAAAAGATAACTGTCAAATGAAGTTGTCATTTCAAAAATTTACCTATTTAGTGCTTTATTATTATAGAAAACTCATTCCTACATCGGAAATCTTAAAGATGCATTTATAAATACAAATGATCAATTCAAAATATGTTTAATTTCAGGTTTGCGAGAGATGCGTGACGAGGAAGAAACCTTCTAGAGAACTATTCACGAGCGAGTCACACTTGGAGATGGTTCTTTATCCAACACATTTTCACAACGGCCGATTAACTTTGAAATGTGTCGCTCAAATTGGTGATTTATATCAAGAAGATACCGACATTACTTTCACCAATGTTAAGGATCCAATTCCCGCTAGAGGTAAGAATAATTATAATAACCATTTCAATAATAAGTTCTTTAACAAGCCACAATACGATATTTTTTAAATAAAAACATTAAAATACTTGCCATGTTTGGATTGGTTTGGTAACTAACATAATATTCAATTTTTAAAACTGTCTAGCCTGAAGTATATGACTGGAAGATTATTATTGGAATGCGAAAATGCGAATGCCAATGCGAAACAAAATAGACAAAGGTACCAAATGAGTGTAGTACAAATTTGTAGTAAATTTTGCTTATGATTGGAACTGTAATAATTAAATCGTTTGTGAGCGATATTGCTATTGATTGCAATAGATATTAGCAGTCTGTTATCATTAAAAAGACCTTATTTTGCTGCAACGGCAGAAATACTTGTGGTAAAGATTATTACTCTTGTAAAGAGTTCCACAGATATATAGACCTCGAAAGAAATATTACTGTTCGGTCTTTTTGTCATTTAAATAAGGCGCGAACAACAGCGCCTCTACCGACAAGAAGTGAAACGAGGGCCTATGTGACCAGCGGCGAAAGAAGAGTCAGCTGTTGACGACCATCTTAGATATATTGTATCGTAAATCTAATTGTAAAAACTAAAACTTTGTATTTTACAATAAATAAAAGTTATTGTACTCGGCAACACATTCCTAAACATTGGTCCTTCGAGCCGGATAGAAGATCAGAAAGAAAAACAATTTCGAGGCAATCCGAAGTTGAAATCTATACAATCAATCAATACTTTTAAATCAAAGCAAGATCAGTCCTTTATCATAATATCCTTTATTATCCTTTTTTAAACAATTGAGTTAGAATAGTTTCGTAATTTTCACACATTTTATTTGCATTTATAAACATATAACTTGCTATAAATAATTCATATATTTTCAAAGCTTATTCAAAATGCCCGAAGCAGATGCTGAATTAAAACAATTAAAAACTATTCGTACTACATATAAAGCACAATTGACAAGGTTTCGAAACTTTTTAGACAAGTTTAAAACATAAGATGTGCCAGATTTAGTTCAGCTTGAGCTTCGAATGAATAGTTTAGAAGGCATTTTAGATTCTTTCAACACAACACAACTGAACATAGAGGCTTTAGATGTAGATACGTCTGAGGACGAGCATTCACTCACGTGGTGTAATTTCGAGGACAACTATTTTGAGTTAATGTCGATTGTTTGTCATTACATACAGTCCAAAATGAACCTGATGTGTACCCATTGCTGTACCTTCCCGCTGTTCAAAAAATTTGTTATTAAATTGAAAACAATTTTGTTTCATACTTTTTTCTGAAAATTCGACTTTTCAAGTGGAGAAAGATACGTCAAAATATTTTTCAATACCGTTTGATAGAGAGTTATCCCGTGGTCTAAAAGGAATTTTTAAGAATGTCAATTATAAACTTGTGTATAGTGCAATAATAAATTACAACAATTATTAGGTAATCCAAAGGATAAAACACCTCCGCTGGAAAGGTCGGGTATTTATGAAATTTCTTGTAAATATTGTAATCAGAAATATGTTGGGCAAAACAGAAGATCGATATTAACTAGATTTAAAGAACATTTAGCTCAGATAAGATATGGTAGACCGGATAAATCTTGCGTTGCTGAACATATTGTTGATAAAGAACATTGTATAGATCTTAATAATTTAAAAATAATTATACAAGTCTCATATTACAGGCAATTAGATGCATATGAAAGCATCGGAATTAATAAATGTGAAGATATTATGAAAAGAGACAACGGTCCAATTCCTTCAAGTTCTTTATTCCTACTACTCTAGTGACGGAAATCTAACTGTTACTCTCGTTGGGCTCTGACTCGTTTGGCTAGATCTTGCCATGCCCACTCGGTGCCCACTGAGCGAGTATATAAACGCTCAAATTGTAGATTGTAGTTTAGTTTAATCATTTTCTGATGATGCTAACATGGTTAGCGAAGTATGTAAAAGTAATGTGTCATATTGATGATACAAAATAATTATAATAGGTTTAAAACCTATAAGAAAAAATCAGTAAATGATAATTTTTAATTCTAATTAATTATTTATGGGAGTGTACGTGGAACACAATAGCTGCTAAATGGCCACCATGACTTCCCTGGCAGCACACAATCCTCTTGTTGATTTTTTTCATTGCTCCTGGACACATTTCTGGATATTATTTCTATTATATCACGAATTATTCGCCTAATTTCTACACATCAGCCTAAAGAAAAGTTGTTTTTTTCCAAATTCATCTGAACAGTTAACAGAACAGACAATATGCAGATGAGAGTAGATTTTATTGTCTGTCATGGCAACTGATTTGAGTAATACGACTACACTCTGCAAAAGTGTTACGCCAATCAATCCTGAGAGGTTTGATCATCCAAACCAATGATTCTTTGCCTGAATCCCTATGGAGCCGCCAATAGGGAGTACAATGTCGAACATCTTCTATTTTAAGACAAAAATGCCACAGATTTACACAATTAAATTTATAATAAATAAAGAGATTTATGGGTAGCCCCAGTTAAAAGTTTACAACTTCCAAAACGTAACATATTTTTAATAAACTTACTTAAGAAAAAATAACATTAATCTAACCTAAACGAGAGTCTAAAATTTTTAACTTATTACTCGGAGTTTTATTAAAATTTTTAATCGTAAAAATATTACTTCAAGAAGTTTTTATATTAAAAAAAGGTTACAGAATGTGAAAAGTTTGAATATTTATGGCATTTACTTCATGTAGGATATTGAGTTTTAAGATACTTTGTCATAAAAATTTTATGTCTGTATTTAAAGCAATATTATTAGAAAGAATAAATCTTCTTTAGAGAAAGAAAAAATAATTTTTATGGTTTACTATAGAGATGAGAAGAACGAAAGAGTAAGAAGTAATACACAAATGGCGTATTAACATATATATAATAACCGATGGTTATGAAATGAATTTTGTATGTAAAATTATATGGGGAATGTCAGCGCCTGGGATGTCAAATGGACGCTGTTTTTTTCGATCATATGGTATTATATCTTGAAACATGCAAAATATATCAAAAGTGTGTGTCAAAAATATTTTAACCCAAAAAATGTAATGAGAACCCGGCAAAGAATGAACTTATTGAAACTGAAAAATGTTCATAAGTTAATGTTGAGGTTTGTTTTGCTTGAAAGTGGATTGATATGTGAATGATATGTTGCAACGTAGCTACTTTCTGAGCAGCGTTATTGGCGCTTTTAGTGTTGCTTATAAGATCTCGGGCGCCATCTCTAGTTAATAAGTGGTTAGAGGCCCACTAGTGCCGGTTCGGGTAGCTTGTGAGGATTGATACGTCTATGTCTTCTTGTAAGCCTATAGAATGTGATGTCCCTCAGGGTTCAGTACTTGGCCCTATTTTGTTTCTGGTGTTTATCAACGACATTGCAAATCTAGACATTAGCGGTAAAATCTGCCTCTTTGCTGACGATACTAGTTTCACTTGGAGCGGCCCAGATGTTGCGGCACTATATGATATTATATCCAGTGACTTACGCACCATTAAGTCTTGGTGCGATTCTAATCTCCTATGCCTCAACCTATCAAAAACTAAAGTTTTGTCATATAAAAGTACTATACAACCTTTTTGTACTTAATAATACCACTATTGACGTCGTGGACTCTGTGAGATTCTTAGGACTTGTTGTGGACAACTCTTTAAAATGGGACTTGCACATCGAAGCCTTATCAAAGAAACTAAGCTCTGCCTGTTTTGCGCTAAGATCAGTGTCTAAGGAACTTAACTCATCAACTTCTAGAATGGTCTATTATGCCCTTTTTGAGTCGCATCTTCGTTATGCCCTTCCATTCTGGGGTACTTGCTGCGCGACAAAATTTGATCGTATTTTCAAACTTCAAAAGAGAGCAGTTCGATACTTATTGGGACTAAACAGTAGAACTCACTGCCAGAATTTCTTTAAAAATTTCAAAATACTGACTCTTCCTTCCTTATTCATTTTTGAATCCGTTTGCTTAATCCGCAAGCACATATTCTCTATTCCGGAAAAGCCTTCTCACAACTATCCACTTAGGAATGCGGAGCACGATATGTATCTGCCAACCCCGAGCTCAGAACTAGTTAAGGGCTCAATACTGTACAATGCCAAGAAAATGTACAATCATTTGCCTTCGAATATCAAGTCACTTTCATTCTTTTCCGCATTTCGCAAAGCTCTGAAATCATACTTACTGGAGAGAACCCTATATGCGGTAAACGACTTTTTTGTTGATGTTTAATCATGAACAATTTAGAATTTTAATTTTAATATTTTGATCATCTCACACACTGGTTAAAGGTCTAGTATTTAATTTTTTATAACTCTTAATTTTATGTTATTATAACATGATTTTATCCATTTACAGTTTTCCTTTTATAATATTTTCTAGATACGCCTGTGTTCTGCAATGTCCATATATGTTTTATTTGTAATTTTATGACGTAATTTTTTTTTTTTGAATTGATTTGTATTGTATGACATTTTTTGTATTATTTGTATATTTGTTTTTGTGCTTTTTTTGTTTTGCTTTGTCGATGAAGCTGTTTTGGCTTTGTGTACAATAAAGCGTTGTTTTTTTTTATAAACATTTATAAATGTTTATTTTAACAATAAGACTGACAATATTATTTGTATAATGTTTTGTATTATCTTTTGTTTGTTTGTTTGTGTACCTTGTTTTTTTACTTTGTTAGTTTACCTTTGTCTACAAATTGAGAAATTTTTTGACAATAAAGGCATTTATTTATTTATTTATAAACTGAAAAATGTTCATAAGTTAATGTTGAAGTTTGTTTTGCTTGAAAGTGGATTGATATGTGAATGATATGTTGCAACGTAGCTACTTTCTGAGCAGCCTTATTGCAAAGAGTAGATAAGACAAGAGACGACAGTGAACAAAGAAGTCGAATTTCGCGAGAGAGACGGAGATATATTAAAATTTAAAGGTCCCATCAAGTCCCATTTTGTCT